GTATATATTTTGTTCAATAAAAGTTTGTTTGAGCCGGCAGAAAATAAAAATCACGTTGATATTTAACAAGACTTAAACGCAGAGCGTTAGACTGTTCACCGACAACCAGGGGACTAGGTTCAGAGCAACGTGAGACAGGTTTCCTCACTTATTAAAAAATCCGTGATTTGTTCATCCTATGTGCAAAATGTTGAAATAGTTTCATTGAATAAATGCCATAAATTATCTCTGAATAGCGTATGTCGGTTTTCTGAGACATTGTCACGGTGGACCATACGGTCACCCAATACAGTGACATTTATCTTAGCGACAATAGCTGCAACTATAGATCTTTTTTTTCTCCGATTTGTCCTTTAATAAAGCATTTCCTGTGTCATTACCGTCAATTTGTAACATCCATGGGAATAACATTATACACTATATACCGCGTTTTACTACTTGCAAGTAAAAAAAAAAAGATGGCCGCGGGGTTGCGTCTAGATCTCCAGAGTGCGCCATCTATTGAAATCCAATTTTGCTCAGCGAATCACAGGGATTACGGTACAAGATGACAAGCAAACGTGGGCCCTGGGCGAAATGTCAAATACCTTGTCATTCTGAGAGGCTAAGCCTCTCTCTTACGAACTGTCACCGATGATTTTGTGTGTAATTTCTCACGAAAGTGTGCGTCGTGCGTGGTAATTTTTCGCGGTCTACATCACGTAAACGATTTCAACGTATTTCAGTCTTCATATCACATTTGATGTGCTATTAGCCTTGTATAGGATCACTTTGTATCTAAAAACGTATCTAAAATAATATTTCGGTAGGATTTGGTCATTTTTATTTCTTATATTTAAACCCAAAAATGCTCAAAATCAAAGCTATTGCCGAAATATTAGTCTTTCAGAAACAAAATACATGATATAGTTTTTACTTTTGAGTGACATATTTTTGTTGTAAATGTTGGTTTATTGTAAATGCAGCTGTACAATTTGAGGAAATATATTTCACACAAACACACATGCCTTTTATTACGTACGTACCAGAAAAT